TAGCACATTGAATTTATACGACACATTGAATTATACGGAAACGTATGGAAATATTTAAATTATCGACAGGTAGTTCAAATGCATGAGTTCACGCGTGGCAGTGCATGTAATACTAATAACCTTTCTGAACTCGTATTGAGATTTTGATAATATGACAATAACGACAAAATATACATATAAATATGTAAGTGATAACTTTTTGTCGCCAGATACACTAATCTAAACCCCACTTCAGCAAACGAAATGGTGCTACAACATTTTTATTCAGCAATCGAAAACAGGTGGAAATTATTTATCCTCATCTCAATTGACTGAGGTTCAAACATAAGTGACACCAACCGCATAGTCTTGTTCAAAATATTGCCTTCAACCATGAAGTCTACGTAAGGGAATTCGGAATCATGTGTGGTTCTTCTTCCTTTGCAGTACGGTAGAGCGTTTATAAGTGTACCGTAAGCGACACTTGCGATACAAATTTAATTATTTTCATTTAAATTTCATATAAATACTCCGATATTAAATAAGTATTATTAAGTATTTAGTAAAGCTAAATTTATAGTTGGCTGTCGACAAAATCCTGTGAATTGTAAAATTTTGTGTCTATTATCTGTAATATTATGTAAAACGATATCAAGATCGTCAAAAGAAAGCGCGACTTACCTGGTTGCGTGGTTTTGCTATCTCCGTCGATTCAAAGACGGTATGTTAGATATATGGAATACTGAGTGCCACGATATGTAAACGACGAACCAATGAGAAGGACATGCGTACAGTATTTGCATATATGCAAATTGTTTCAAGCATGAAGACTCAACAATGAAACGCCTCACTTCGATTCCCCGATTGGAAGGTAAGTGTTGACACGTTCATGACTTGTAGTTGAACTCTATTTCCTATTCATTGATTTTTTTCATGCAATTTTTTGAGTTTAATAGGACGTAGCAGCGCTCGAACACGAATATTTATTATTAATGTAGTTAAAATAAACATATATTTAAGTTAATATTTTGTCAACTTTCACCAGTTTTTGTCTCATGCGCTAGGATGAACGAAATGTACTCAAATAACCTATATTCGACTATGTAATTTGAGTAGAGTTTTACAATATGTCTGTGAATTTAATAAATTTTGAAACAAAACGCTATTATCATTAAAGTTGTTAATTTGGGATATTGATGCTGTGAGATCTCGATTTCGACATATGTTATAAGCCCAGCAAAAAAAAACAAAAAAAAAAAAAAAACTCGTCAATTTGTTTTCTAAAAGTGATGCTCGCGCATTAACATTATGTTTTATTTTGATTTGATTTTTCTTTCTTTTCTGAAAAAACGTCTGTGACACGCATTTTTTAAACTGATGCGCGCGATAACCAATAGCCTTAATATTTAATATAATAAGACTAAGTTGCGATCGTTCTCAAAATGTGTATTACGTGACTGCCTCGGAAAATGATCTCTATGCATAGCCCCCGATGCTTCTCGTCAAATTAAGTGATCCCAGCTTTGTCATTGTACCATAATTGTATGACCATATGCCACTGCGCAAAAAAATGAAACATCAAATCACCATCGTAATCAAAAGAACGACAGAACTCGAGTTCACAGATTTCTGAGAGATCTTGCACTTTTTTACTGCACTTCTAGAAAACATTGAATTTGCTCGTTATAATACATTTATATGTATTTTTCACTTTACAAGCTTAGCGGGTTTTATTTTATTTGGCAATGAAAAATCAATCAATTAATCAGCTTCCTGTCATCTTTGGAATGAACTGGACGAGTGTTATCCAATGATCATCGCTAATGACACAGTAATCGTTTAATCACAATTATCAAATTGAATAAGTATTCCATTTGTTTTCTGGCATTGTTTTTGTAATAGTAAAATGTCTATATCATTTATTTCCCTGGGAAATACATTTGTTTCATGGCAACACCGTGGCATTCAATTGAACATACGACGAGCCTTGACCATGTCACGATGACTTTCGATTACCGGTAGAGATAGCACTGCAAATATTCAAGAATGTGGTCACCAGACTGAGCGTGAGACTGTATTATTTTATCAAACCTCTGTGTGAGAATCAAGTAGGTCCGATAAGCTTTAAGTACGACCTCCAATGGTCACTGTCTGGACAGAGAAAAGTATTCCTCACCATTGAATGGGACAGACTTGAGACACAAATGAGATCTCGTTGTGAGCGAAGGAGTCACGTGATTTGCTTTTTTCTCCTCTCAAATAGTATACAATTTCCTTCCATCATCACGTTCTCTGTCCCTAATATCATGGCAACATATATCAAGTGGATGGCGGGAGAGAATATACCACTATTAGAGTGGAAGGATCCGGGCTCTCATTGCGATCTTGTCATTCATTTGCGTATATGGTTTATTGATTGAATTTCTCCACCTTTTCGAGAAAGTGGCTCTATCTCGCTCGATTTGATAGCCTTCATTGATATACCCGGGTATGCGGTAGTTAAATTGTCTACGTGATTACATGCACCCATGGAACCGTCGCCATCTGCTAAGATATGAATAAACCTAACCATAATCTATTTCAGATTAAAAATGACGTCTGCGATTCATCTTCGTCTTCTTGTTATACTGCTTCCTATATTATTATTAAGCAACGCAATGAACTGGATCGAGTTGGAGGCAGAATTTGAGTCGGTAGAGCGTTGGCCCTGGTCCGGTGATGACGAAGCCGATTCTAGCGACAGAATTCTTGGTATTCGTGATAACCAAAACAATACGAAGGCTACTGTCAAAAGAGACAGTCACTCTGAACGTAAACCACCATCAACTGAGGGTATAATGCAATTTTCAATAAATAGTTCGATTTTTTTCATGATCTAAGCTTAGTTTCTATAACTTTGATATTTACTTATAATACATGTGCTCGGAGTTGAGAAAGAATATATTTTTCTCACTTTCGTCGTTGAGAGAAGCACATGCAAACAAATCCAGTGAACAAAAGGGCCCGAATTTGAGCATGCAAATGCGAATTGGTGTCACCCTCTATAAAACTAGTGCTTCCCTCCATTCATTTTTTGAACCTACTTTAAATTAGAAATGAAATTTTTGAACGTGATGTCAATCGTCGCCAATTCAAACGAGTCTTATGTGAATTCAGTATTGACCGTGGAGGGCGGCGTTGTATCGCAAGCAATCATAGAGTCCCATTAAAGGGACTCTAACAAGCAGCGTTGTCAATGCATTTACAGAATACTCACCGCTCTCAAATGATTCTCGAAATCAATTTGTAGTTGAACAAAAAACCAAAATCTGGTCACCATAATAGTACCTATTTTTTTCTTCTCAGGTCACTATGACTACAGTGAAGTGATTCACTTGTCAATTCGCTTCTACGAAGCACAGCGTTCGGGACAATTACCAAGCAACAAACGCATAGCTTGGAGGGGGCATTCAGCTCTCAACGATAAGGGCAAATCTCGCGTCGAAGATCTTATTGGAGGTTGGTATGATGGTAAGTGTGTTTGTTTTTTATTTAAAGAGGCGAGATCACATCTCATTGTTGTTTCTGTGGAAGCAACAGATTTATGGTTTTCCATAACACCAGTGCATCCCAGCCTGACAGCATTTGAATAAGAAAGCCTAATTATGATAATAAAAAGCTTAATTCATCATATACAACCTAGTATAACAAGAAATATGATGCAAGTAAAGATTTGGCTAGTTTTTTGCATTTTCCCACTAGAATTTGTCACCCAAACTATTTGTAATATTTCTGTAGGCGGCGGTAACATGAAGTTTGTCTTTCCAATGGCGTACAGCGCAACCGTGTTAGCGTGGGGAATGATAGAGTATAAAGATACCTACGATGTCGCAGGCCTCACTCCCTACATGATGGACTCACTGAAATGGGCTTATGATTTTTTCATCAAGTGCCACGCAAAAAGAAACCGTTTGTTTTATCAGGTGAGCGTAGTTCACGTTATGCGAACAGGGCTATCTGCCATTGTCAATATACGTTCCTAATAATTGCGCTCTCTAGCGACTAAGCGCTCACGTGACGTCAGCGACTGTAAAAGATGCCGTTCACAACGGCGATATTGTTTACGTCTCTGGCCGTCCGTTGATACTGTTTTTTGATCTTCGTTAAATTGTAAATGACGATCGACCACGCAACTTAACACAGTTGTAGATTGTATTTGTTCACACCAATCTACGTCACTTTGCTACGCCACAGTCACTAGAGGTCGCGACGTATATGGAAGGTGTATTCCGGTACTCGCCTGCTAGAGTATGGCGTAATTAAAATTGCGACAAGATTAGCTCAAAGAAAATGACACGCGCATCTATCCAATTCGCGAAGATATACTCATCAACATACGTCAAAATACACAATTTTCATTTTGGATTTTATCTTATGAATATGTGTCCGAAGAAGAAGGTTTTATTATCTGTGCAAAACTTACATTTGTTGTTCGTCTCACATAATAAGAAATGGATATATTTGTTATTATGTTTTTCTTTTATAGCTTAATCTTCATCACACTGCAGTAGAACTAAACACGTTGTCTCAGCAATAACAAATGTGTCTGTCTCATGAATGCGCATGCGCACTGATATATTAATACGTACCGATAATTCGAAACGCAAACACGAAAGAAAGACTATATTGTGAGCTACCACCAAACAGTCATGAAATATACAAAACGTAATATCGTCATTATCTTTGAGAAATACACTTTGCAATTGCTAACAACCATGTCTATTCTCTCGCGTGCACCAACAGATCGGCGATGTCGAACTCGAAAAAACACAATGGAATCGTCCAGAAGATTCAACCATGGACGCGGAACGACCGGCCTTTTATGCGGACATGAATAACCCTGCAAGTGACGTGGCGGCTACAGTGTCTGCTTCATTCGCCACTTGTTATCTCATATTTAAAGACAAAGGTAAATTATGCATTAAGTCACGTGGTCTACTCATCGTTCGATTCGTCCCATATCAATAATGTCCCGTTTTATATTTCCGTAATAGTTAGAATTTTGTTTTGTGAAAATGGCAACAACCAACAAACTGCATTTTTCCTATACCTTGTTGGCTCGAGATTGATTTTCAGAAAATCACTATTCGAATAATTTTGTATGAGGTAGCAAAAGCCTCATCCCTGTATCTTTTCATGATCAATTTACAAAAAGGACGCCCTCAACGCGGGACACTGCTTTTTGTGTAAAAGTGTGTGAATGAACTATACTAGTAAGGCCAGACTTTTATTATCCCTTGTTTCGCGAACCCGTCGAATGAACAGGAGCCTAAATGAAATAAAAATTAAATTTTATTTCTGCATAATTTCTCGCGCCCGCCGACTTGTGAGTGCAAAAAAATGCTAAAAAAATTTATTTTTATCTTAATTTTTTACGCCCGCCGCCTAATAAATTCAAGTTGCATTTTCATGGGAGTATCATGATCAAAGTACCGAAGTCTCGCGCAAATCTATACTTTATGCGCGTTGGTTGACAGTGACCTCTCTGCGTACTGTCTGCTTGAGACTACTAGGCGATCATGGCGGCGGCGTGGTGACACGCCTTGAAACTTGTCGTCAAAAACCGAGAAATCCCTCATTAATGCTGAAAATTGTGCCACCATTGGCTACCTTGCCAGCCACGTTATACATGTAAATAAAATTTTATTTCATTTCTTCTCTCTGATCAATGATCTCACTTACAATTCTTTGAGAATCACACAAATCTAATGGCAAAAAAGAATTAATTTAATTTTTTTTCCGCCCTCCTAAAAAATGACTTATAAAAACTCGAGAAACAAGGAATAAAAAAAGTCTGGCCTAATTGTTTCCTCAGATAAAGAATTGTAACATGCATTATTTGACAGATCCAGAGTACGCATCGATTTGTTTGAATGAAGCTAAAGACCTTTATCGGTTCGCCACACAGTTCCCAGGTCGTTATCAAGACATGGGGTCTTATGCGTAAGTACTCATTTAAATTGTAATATATTCAACGCGAAAATAGTATGTGTGGAAGCGTTTGCCCCCGAAAACATGTGTTTCATTCGTTCAAAATACCCAATCAGTCACAACGCAACCCAGAGTCTTCGGAAATAATTTTGATATCAGACCGCTTTGAGAATACCCTCTTCAACGTTCAAACTAATGTCATAGCGTCGTTATGGCGTCAAAACATCGCATAGGATTCGACAAACGCGAAAGTATTTTGGGAACTATTTTCCACGCTTAATAATTGTGCTACATATTTGCTGGTGGTCAATTTTGATGATGCCATATTCTTCTCTGAAAGATCAGCATTTCGACCGTGAACTTCTAAAACAATCAAGTCATTCGATTTTTTCTAAGCCTTCAAAAAACTAATGAGTCACCGGTAGCGAAGCGGTTAAGTTAGAAGCCTACTCATAACTTTGGTCATAAATCGCAGGAAAACGTTCATTGGTTTATTATGTACAATCATGGCGCTAATGTCCCATGACACATTCTTTTCAGCCTATGTCACCAGCCTACAATTTAAGATATGGCAT